CGTTTTTATATATTTTGGCGTAATGTTAATTTGTTTAACTGACTTCTCGATTGAATTTTAAGCTAAAATTTGGTGAAAATAATTTATACTTCATGAAAAACAAGCTCACAAAATTTCACCAAAAAAATCCACCCAAAAGCACCTCAAATGAAGATTATTCATTCAATGTATAAGAAGTTCGGTTCCTGTTTAGGAATCAGAACCAAACCGATCAAATGCTATAGGAACCGAACAAAAAAAGACAGAAGTCCAAAATTAAAGGAACCAACCCGAAGTGGATACTTCGGTTCGGTTCGGATAGGTTTTCTCGGTTGTACGGTTCCAAGTCCCTGGCCTAGTTTTGTCAGTTTTGTGAATATACATCACCCATTTGATCTTATGATAGTTTATGCTACGTATTTAACTTCGAGTATTATTTTTAATTTTCTATGAAGTATATATTCTTGTTTTATTTAATGTTTTGAGTTAATTATTTTCCCCAAGTGTAATTGACACTGCAGCGGACGTGTACCTAGGATTCTATAGGGTTTTGGTTTTCCTGCGGTGGCTCTAGTCACCTCGTTCGACACTGTTTTTCGGTTGGTTCTGGTCATGTGTATCTGGTAGCTTCATGTCTTCCTGCTTTGTATCGTCGATGAACGTCATGAGTATTATAAGTTGGAATTGTCGTGGTTTGGAGAACATAGAGACGGTTCAAGTGCTCTCGGACATTACTAAGTACACTCCCCAACTATTGTGTTTTTGATGGAAACTAAACTCCGACATCAGAGAATGCAGGAAATTCTTCGACCTATGGGTCACAATAATGTTTTCACAAAGGATTGTGAAGGTCGAAGTGGAGGATTAACATTAGGTTGAAAAGATGATGTGTCTTTGGAAATTATTGGGTCTAGTAACCATCACACTGATAGTAGTATGTGTCGGTCGCCAGATAAGAGTGCGTGGAGGCTCACTTGTTTTTTGGTTGCCCAGAAAGTAATCGACGAAGAGAATCCTGGGATTTACTACGCATTCTGGCTACCAGTTCTGCTCTTCACTGGCTAGTAGCTGAAGACTTTAATGACATCATGTTTGAGGATGAAAAGAAAGGAAGAATTCCAGTGGCACTATGGAAGTTGTGTGGTTTCAGGGAGGCTATTTGGGGGAGTGATATTCGTTTTTTTTCGTTTAACGCCTATGAAACATTGGGAGGATAGTAATATTATTAAAGGATAATATATTGTTCTACAGAACTACAAAGCTAAAGGAAGGTCGATTCAAATTATCATATGGAGAAAACCTAATTGCAAAATGAAAATGAATATTGATGCTAGTTACTTAGTTGATTACGCAACAGGTGGAGCGATTACCAGAAGTCCAAGCAGCGAAATGGTCTCGGCGATCAGCTTTCAGGTGGAAGCCGTCTCTCCAACTGAAGCAGAGCTCCAAGCGTTGATGTATGTTATACGTTGGACTGTTGATGAAGGTTTTGTTGGGATTCAGGTAGAATCAGATTACGCCATGGCTATTCATATGTTGTGAGAGAAAGAGGGGCATCGATGGTCTAATCTTATTCAGGAAACTAAGCTCCTTGTGGACAGGAATCATCTACATCTTGGACATACTTTGAGAGAAGGTAATGGAGTGGCCCATTACTTAGCTGCAACACATACGGGTCAACAGATGTTTCAGTATGATGGGCCAAATTCTTTACCAATCGGAGCTAAACAGGCTCATTACACGGATCTGTTCGGTATTCCTACTCTCATATTTTAGACTTCTTTTATTGATTTTGTATTTTTGGGTAAGGTATAATCCCTCCAAAATGTTTTATTTTATTTTGGTTTTGTTTGTAAATTGGGTATGGTCTAGCCCCCCCAATTTTCGGTTTTATTTTTGGCCGGTTGTTTTTAATTTTGGAGGTATGCCTCCAGAGAGGTTTTGGTTTGGCCCCCTCTCACTTTGTTTCTTCTTTATTATTTTTAATAAAATCTGGCAAATGTTCCCCGACATTCGCCCCATTGATTTTGGTGCTTTGCCTTCCGGGTTAGGGGGGGGGGGGGGGCGAGGAACTATGTATTGGGTCCAAGAAAAACTTGACTGATTTCTAGTTAACGAGGATTGGTGGAGCAGGTTTGGGTCAGCATAAGCAGAGTCACTTGAGGGCCCTGCTAGTGATCACTTAACACTACGTAACATGATTGGTCGACCGGTTGTCCGTAGAGGTTGCAAGTTGTTCAAATTCAAAAATGGCTGGATTAAGAATATGAATGTCGTGCTATTGTCTATAAAAGTTGGAAGGTGAGTATCAACTGGGACATGTGCATTAGAATTGCCTTCTGTGGCAGAGAACTACAACTTTGGGGTAATAGTCCGAGAATAAGCTTTTGTCCCTAGATTGAAGGATGCAAGAGGCGGTAGGGTTGGCTATGAGATAAAATGGATGTACGCAACTGTGCAAAGTTCAGCACAGTTTGTTCCTGAACACTCTCTCTTGTGCATCGGAAGAATATTGTGGAGGCAAAGAGCTAATGAGTTTTGTCTTCGTGATGGGGATACCAACTATACTTTTTTTCATAATTCAGTTAAGAAAAGGCGTAGAAAGAATTCAATCCGAGGTATGCGTTCAAATGACGGTTCCTAGGTCACTAATCGCAATATTATGAGTTATATGATAATGGATTATTTCACAACCTTACTCACGGTTTCTGACCAACAAAGGTTGCGTGCGGACAGTGGGGGCTCTAGCCGGACTTCTAGCAACCAGAATAAAGTTCTTTTACGCTCTATTAGTCAGAAAGAAGTCAAAACAACCCTCTTTGATATGCACCCGAAGAAGGCGCCAGGATGGGAAATATATGAATCCAGCTTACTATCAATCTTATTGGGACATTGTTGGTCCTGATATATTTCGTTTGTGTTGCTCCATTTTCAATTCTGGTAAGCTACCTGAAGATTTAAATATTACTAATATAGTTCTTATCCCGAAAAAGAGATGCATGAACTTTTAAGCGACTGGCGACCTATTGCATTGTGCAGTGTTGTTTATAAAAAAAATTAAAAGTTTTGGCAAATCGTATAAAGGGTAGTTTGAATGGTGTGGCGTGGGAAAACCATAGTGCTTTCATCCCAAGAAGATCTATCATTGACGATGTAATGGTTGCATTTGAGACACAACACTTATCAAACGTAAGAAGACATGCAAAGAGGGCTTTGCAGCGCTTAAGCTGTACATGAGTAAGACTTGTGACAAAGTTGAATGGCCTTTCCTCATGTATGCTATGTGTAGATTGGGTTTTGACAGGAAGTGGGTTGATATGATTATGGAATGTGTAACATCTGTCAAATATTATATTCAATTTGATAAGGATTTTTTTGGGTCCCATTGAGCCAGGGAGATCCCCTATCTCCTTACCTTTTCATCTTAGTGGCGGACGGTTTGAGTTCCCTTTTAAGAAGGGTCGAAGTCAGAGGTGACATCCATGGAGTAGCAGTGTGCTGGAGAGCTCATTTATTGTTTGCAGACGAAAGCTTTCTTTTCTTTAAAGCTTCAGGAAGTGAGTGTGATGCCATTAAATCTATACTACATCAGTATGAGGAATTATCCGGACAAATGGTCAATTTTAATAAATCCAACATCACTTTTAGCCCAAATGGCAAGGGAGCTACTTGTGTCTCTCTCTGCAACAGATTGGGAATCACATAAGATGGGAATCAACCAAGGTATCTCGAGCTATCGACATTGGTGGAATGGTGGGCAGGGGAATGCGTGCTATTCTGAGTTACCTGCACAAGAGGATTGTAAATAAGATCAAAGGATGGAATAATAGTTTTTATCTCGGACTGGAATGACGATACTTCTACAAAATTTGGTGAAGGCACTCCCAACTTACGTTAGGAATGTATTTTTATTGCTAAAAAGAGTTGTGTGAATAAATTGAAATATTATGATGATTATGGAGTTGTGCAGATTAATTATGATCTTATGGAGTTTGTGGAAAAGAAGAAATGAGTTGGTTTGGAAAGGGCAGGGGTGAATCAAGATGATAGGACTGTTTTAAGGGGGCAAATACTATGTTGAAGGGCCAGAGAGAAGCTCAAATATCAGCAAATAAGGGACAACAGTTTGGGGAAAATCACAGGGCGCGATGACAACGACTTGATAATAGACAGGTTAAAGTAAATGTGGATGCGACATGCAACAAGGAGGGGCAAACGGGCTTGGGGCTGTATCACTCGGGATTCACAGGGAACTTTCCTCGGTGCTAAAAGCGGATCCATCAAGGCGGACTAGTCGCCGGAAGAATCGGAAGCAAAAGGAATTTTGGAGGCTTTACCTTGGACAGTTCAAGCAGGTTGGGGGCATGTGGACATTGAGACAGATGCTCTAGCGATAGTCCAGGCGAGAAAGGGATGTCTTACATGGACCTTTGGGTGGATGATATAAAGCAACTATCGAAAGATAACCCATCTTTTTCTCTTCTCTAATATATTATAAAAGATCTGCAAATCGTGCCCTCATGCACTTGCAAGAGCTAGCGTTCTTTGATCAGATCTAAGTAGTAACTAGGATTTTATTCTGATTAATGTTGTAAACCAGATTGATAACGATCTTATTATCTAATGTGAGGCAGTTTTATTAAAAAAATGTTTCGAGTTAATTGATTCACTATCAAATATTTATTACTTTTTATGTAATCGACCTAAACTTCGATGTAGATAGATACTTCACTCCGGATGAAGTAACTAGTACTTCATCCATCCCGCTGATATTGACTCATTTTATCTTATCGTGAAATCCACTAAAATTGTCTCAGACCAAATTTGACGAAGTTTATGTGATTTTAAATCATTCTTACTTTATTAATTAATTACTACCCCGTTCCAATATTAGTGGAACAAAGGTAGTAATTAGTAAAAATAAGATGCATAAAATAACTTGATAGCAATTTAAGCTGTTTCTCTTTTTTTCACGATTTATTGGCGAATTCTATTAAAAAAATTATTATCACCTTAACGACTGGGAAATTCAAAATACGTGCTTTTCTTAACGGGGAAAACGAACGATATTAAAAAAACGAGGAAAACGAACGCGGGAAGATGAATGGTTAGAATTCATTTCAATTTCAGCGTTTCAAATTTGGTAGCATATATGCTAGTAGACTCTTACGTATCCCCTTCTTTTGTAGACGCTCACTGCATACCTTCCAGACAAACCCTAACTCAAAAATTGACGGCCATGGATGTTAGACGGAGGAGCGCGAGAGTCCAGCAGCTGGAGAAAGAAGCTGCCTCTAGAATGGGAGTTTGTCAGGAGGAGATCGAAGGAGAAAGAGACGTGGGCGTTTACAAGAGGAGAAAAACGAACGAGGCTTCTAAAGCCAAAGCAAAGCTTCCGAAAGTCTCTCAAGCTGCTTCCTCCGGCAGCTCTTGCGAGAAGTTAGTATCCGTCGACAGCGAGAAGCCCCCTTCTCTGAAGTTGACAGAAAAGATTAGACTCTTCAACAAGTACTACTTGCTTGGTGTGCAGGTATATGGCCACAAAATGCATATACCTTTAAACGATTGTTGCACAATAGCACAACTGTCTAACCCTTTCCTCTATTGCTGTATATACTATATAGGAGGAAGAATCAAGAGTTAAGCTGTTGGAAGCAGCAAAGGCGAGTGTGAAGTTGAATTGAGTTTTGCCCAAACCGATTTTTGAAACCCTCATATTTTAAGACCTGAAATGATTCTATATGTGCAGATAAGTCATGCTGCGCGAGATGACGTGTATAAAAGACCTTCAAAGCGACCAGATTTAAAAGCAGTTTCTAAGGCTTGTCTTTCCATTTCCCAGCTCTTTTCCTGTTTTGTGACTCTCGTAACAGTTACTGTATATGTTTTGTGTTCTGTTGTGCCTTTTACACATAAGACTTAAGAAGGCAAACAGCGCTAAAGTCTGTGCTTAAGCGCTGCAAAATAAGTAAAGCATAAGATTTGAACTTCAGCTTTTCACAGGAGAACATTACATTGTGCCTATAGTGAATATTTGATTTGGTTATAACTCATAACACAACATTCTATCCTTATTTCCGAAAGAATTTGTAGTCCCCTTATACCCATATGATATCGAAGTTAAAAACAATAAAAAGAGAAAAAGGGATAATCAAATAAGACCAATCCCCCACATATTCCCTGTCCATTCTGTCCTCCCCAAAGTTATAATCTCATCTAATCCAAGATTTAACGTGTCATTCTTGATCACTCTAATCCTAGTCTATTTAGGTCTTCCCTCCCTTTCATCCAGTGTCTTCTCCCCACCTCTCGATTCATCTAAAAGATGCATCACTCGGTCTTCTAAAAGAATGACCAAACTACCACAATCAATAGGTATTTAGTGTGTCCATATGTCTAACGCAACAATAAGGCAGACTTGATTGTTGTCCCTTATACCTTGATCCAGAGGCAAAACACAGGACACCGTGTCAGACTCGGTCAGTACAAAGAACATATTCGAAGGAAAAAATTTTACATTAAAAATAAAGACATTTTTTAAATTTGGGGTGGGCAGGGGGCCTAGGTTGGCCCCTCCCTAGCTCCACCTTTGCCATGACCAAGGTTGTTAAAATCTCGATTTAAATCGTAAAATCGTACGATTTTACGATTCTACAATAATAAATCGATTCAAATCGCAGGTAAAATCGTAAAATCATAAAATCGTACAAAATCGTAACAAAATCGTACAAAAATCGTGTAGAATCGTATAAAATCGTATCAAAATCGTAGCAAAATCGGAATATTTTTTTTTTAGTGAAAATGGTTCAAATTTATTAAAATTAACTACTACAAATTGATACAAAATTTCAATAATAATAACATCAATAGTATATTTAAAAAAGTATTGGATTCTTGTGTTATTTAATTATTTTTATGTTTTACATATGTTTAATGTTATTATTCACTCTATTTACAATATAAAAATAGTTTATAAATCTTGTTTTTGACCTTGTAGGTATAGTGGTATGTAAAAAAATGACATAATACCATTAACTTGCAACTTAATTTTAATATTTATTTATTTTATAATTATTAAAATATGTTTGATAAAATCTTACGATTTGCGATTCGATTTTACGATTCGATTTTCAAAAACATCTACCGATTCGATTCAAAAATAAGATTTTAACAACCTTGGCCATGACCACATGGATTTCTTGATGCACTCTTCTATTTCATCATCCTTTTTAATTCTATGGATGATATTCTCCATTAAATTCTCCATCCTTTTGAATTGTGGAGTCCAAATAACAAAATACATCAGTTATTGCGATTTCCTAATCATCAAGGGTAATTCTACTGTTATCATCGTTTCTACGCCTAACTTGCTCCATACACTTGGCCTTACTTAGAGGCTTAGAGCTAACGTAGTAACGTGAAGCCCTTGCACTACAAGGTTTGTTCCATAATTTGAAATTCACTTTAACACTTGATCTTATCTCCACCAATCAACACAATATTGATGTTAAACATCACGAATCATGGTATATATTCTTGAATTGACTTGGTTGGTCCATGACTTATAAGAAAGGACACAAAATTATTCCTCAGTGCACTCCGATAGTAATATGGAATTCAACTATCCTCCCTACACGAGTACAGACGCTTGTAACACAACTTTTATACGTATCCGTGATGATGTTGATATACTTGTGTTATATACCTTTTCTAATTAATGTCGCACCAAAAGACTTCTTAAAATACCCTATGATACACCTTTCCAAGTCAATTAGCACCATATTAAGGTATTTATTTGTATTTTTATATTTCTTCACAAGTTTTTTAAGAAAGTGAATGACTGTTAAGTGACTCTATAAAATTGAATTGATTCTTTTCGTAACCTTTGCTCAATCACTCGCTCCCAAAGTATCTCGCAAGCTTAATCCTTTGATATTCACAAATCTTGTATATCGCCTTTATTCTTAAATAAAGGGATAAAAGTATTCTTTTATCCACACTCTGTATACTTTCCCAAATCTTGTTCAAGAAAAATGTTAACCACTCGACGTCTCTCTCACCATACTTCTACACCCGTAGGCCTCGTTCGGTATGTCATATGAACCCACGACTTCCTTCTTCCCCATATTTTTCAAAACCTTCTTACCTTCTGACTTTTGAATACTTCTCATAAATTTTTTATTTATCATACAATCTCGTATAATAAGATCACCAATATGTTACGCTTTTTTCATATTAAGTAATGTATCAAAGTAAAACCTTCCTCTCTTTTTTATATTTTCATCCTCCAGTAGTACCTTTGTTCGACAATTTCTCACATTTAACTTTTTTGATATCCCGAGTCCTATGATCTCGAAGAGGGGTAAGTAAATGTCTTTTTTTCCTTGTTTAGAATCAAAATTTCATATAACTCCTTGTTCACTTATATTTGTTTCTTTCACATTTTGCTCCTTTCTTTTAACCTCCTCATACTCCTCTCCTCTACACTACAGTTGAAGGTTTAACTTAAAAAACAGTGTGTAGAAAAGTTTCTAAATTGACCTCGTAATGGCCTAGGGTCTGCATGTGGTTGGGCCTACTAGATTAAGAGGTCTCGTTCAAGATCATTACAAGAATAAATCTCAGGACAAAAGGGAAGCCTAGGGTTGTGACTAAAACTGATATGGGCTATATTAATAATTATAATATCTTTTTGAAGCTCTAAGCAGTATACTGGGTTCTAGCTTCTAGTCGGGCTTAGGTGACGTTTATGTGGGTTTTAGTATGGTTAGATAGAGCAGAAATAAGAAAAAGATAGAGGGAGTCCACTATCAATGAAGGCATAGCGTCTAGGCTCAGAAGGATGAGTCGGGGTGAATTGTTATTAACAAACTGACAGAAGTGATAGGGAGTATGCTCTTTGTTCCAGCTCGATATTCGTCAAAGATTGAGATCAGTGAGACGGTCTCTTAAAAGCTAATGTTTCTTGTATATATCTGTTAACGATCAATTCTTTGGTCGCACATATGCACGCAGGGGACAAAGGGGATCAGAGATGATTAGCAATCCAAGTGGCTAAGGGAAAGATTAAGCAAGTCATGAGAGTCATATTAGTATTAGGATTATTTTAATTAGTCCTTCTTTAATTAGTATTTCATTATTAGAGTTATGTTTGAATTAACAACTATTTTCCTAATATTTCATTATTAGAGTTATGTTTGAATTAGCAACTAGTTTCCTAATTGTTTTTAGGAAAACCTTAACTTCTATTTAAGGGGATCCCAGTAATTTTAATAAACGGCTTTTGGTTGATTATGAGTTCTCTTGACTAGGTCGGAGAAGAGTAATTATCGTTTAAGCTAGTCTCGTTCATCGGCAATTAAAATAGCTTCGAATAATTCATCTTTTACCTGTGGTTCTTCTCGTTCACGCCCTTGGACGAGGTCATTAACTAAAGCGCTTAACAATATCAAACCGATTAATTGATCACCCGCAGAGTAAACATCATCACGAGGCTTATAATAATATGTATAAGCTTGTACTCACAATTGTTTACTCATAATAATATACAATCTTAAGAATGCTAGAAGGGTTCCCATGTTCAAAAGCCCAAAACTAGCAAAACATAAATAGCAAGAGTTTTAAAACAAACTTGAATAAACATAAATTCTATCTAACAATTCATAAATTTGGGGCTAGATGGATGGAGTTCACTGCCTAACATATTAATGGTTCTGTGTAAAGTGTCACTCTTTATAAATCTAGCATTCCAGCACAATGATTCCATTTTGTGGTTAGGCCACAACTTCAATTCTTCATGTTAAGTAGATAATTGATTCCATTTGTGCCTAGCAAATTTGTCTTTATCTGAAAATGTTTATCCACGACTTCATAAATGCATCTATTGTGTTACCTGAACACAATGTACAATATATGAGTTTTAATTTCAGTGTCATTTTCAAATGCTTGCAGATGAGACAGAATAAAGAGCTACTTCAAACAACAAAAGCAATCGGTGACATACCAGGTTGTGGTTTTAACTTTCTTTTCTTTATTAAACTAGTCGTTGGTGGTTGTGTCAAGAAATGTCAATGAACCTTCCTTAAGTGCTCTGTCAGTTGGATATTGTCCCAAACCAATTTGGTATTTAATAATAACAAAATAAAGTATAATATTTTAAAATTTTAACCACTTAATATTGGAATTGCAAGTTGTGATATGATATCAAATTTTGATGAAGCAACGACCTTACAAATGTTTGTTCGTGAGAGATTATTGAGTACATTGTCCCATACTGGTTTGTTATCATCATCATCATTACCCCAGTGCCGCAAAGGCTCCCACCTACAGTGGGGTAGGGGGGGTCGGATGTACGCAATCTTACCCCTGTATTAAAGCACAAAGAGACTGTTTCTGGATGATCCATAATGAAAATCGCGTCAAAAATTGCATGGATTGACTGCTTCTTCATAACAAAGAAGCGTAGACAATTTAGTGAGCCATTTTGCTTTATTCCACCATAGTCCCAAGCCAAAAAATGGTGAGTCTTTGGCTCCATTGCAAATGATGGAGAAATCTCAAATATAAATACTCCTGTATGTTTCTACTGTGCGTGGAGTGGTGCGATTATTTTGCACAATTCACACACCCTACTTGTTAAGGATTATCACACTGAACACACACTCTGCAGTAATTAAAGACACAAAGATTTAAGGTGGTTCAGTCGTAATGACCTACGTCCACACTGTTGCAACTAGAAGATGTATTATTTCTGTTTTGCTTCTCTATTTACAGGTACATCAAGAGGATATTTATAGAGTGGGAATAGGGTTACAATATGGGCTTTAAATATGGGCTTAACCCTAATGGGCCGGCTGCCCCCTTAAGCCCTTAAGCCTCCATACATTACAATCTCCCACTTGGAGGCTTTGGCAAACTCCAAACTGTCTCCGTATCTTCACTTGACACTTCTTGTACCTCTGTAAATTCTTTTCTTCTAGCTGCAGCGCCTTCTCATCATTATTCCTGAAGGCCAGTTGAAGCTATGCATAGCTTCAACTTCTCTAAGGTTACTACCTTAGTTAGCATGTCTGCGGGATTTTCTGTTCCTTTAATCTTTTCAAGCTTCAATGTTCCATCACTGATAAGACCTCTGATGAAGTGATATCTAAGCTGAATGTGTTTCGTTTTTCCATGAAACACGGGATTCTTCCCCAGATGAATTGCGCTTTGATTATCACAAAACAATGGACTGTCAGACTGTTTCTTCCCAAGTTCTTCCATAAAATTTTTCAACCAAATCAATTCTTTACTGGCTTCAGCACAAGCCATGTATTCAGCTTCAGTTGTTGAAAGAGCAACGCTCTTTTGCAATCTGGACATCCAACTAACAGCGGTTCCTCCTACTGAAAAAACAAACCCGGTTGTGCTTTTATACGTTTCCTTGCATCCCCCAAGGTCAGCATCCGTATAACCGCTAAGAACAATGTCTTTGCCTGAGAACCGTAACCCCATCTTCGAAGTGCCTTTCAAATACCTTAGCAGCCATTTGACTGCCTCCCAATGTTTTTTCCCCGGATTGGACATAAATCGACTAACCACCCCCACTACTTGTGCTATATCCGGCCTTGTGCACACCATTGCATACATAAGACTACCTACAGTTGATGCATAGGGAACCTTGGCCATTTCGGCAATTTCTTCATCCGTCTTTGGTGAATGGTCTTTTGAAAGCTTAAAGTGACTTCCTAGTGGATTGTTTCTGGTCTTGGCATCTTCCATTTTGAATTTCTCTAATACTTTTCTGATGTACTTTTCTTGAGAGAGTGTTAGAGATCCGTCTTTGTTCCTAGAGATACTCATTCTGAGTATCTGTTTTGCAGCACCCAGATCTTTCATTTCAAATTCTTCTGACATTTGCTTCTTCAGTTTCTTTATCTCTTTCATGTCAGAACCAGTGATTAACATATCATCCACATATAGGAGGAGAATGATATAGGACTGCTTGAACTTCTTGATGTAGCAGCAGTGATCCATTTCACATCTCTTGTATCCGGATCTACCCATGAAATTGTCAAATTTCAGGTACCACTGCCTCGGAGCTTGTTTTAACCCGTACAAACTCTTCTTCAACCTGCAAACCATACTTTCTTTTCCCGGAACCTGAAAACCTTCAGGTTGTACCCTGTAGATATCTTCATTCAAATCTCCATGTAGAAAGGCTGTCTTTACATCTAGTTGCTCTAGATGAAGATTCTCTGCAGCAACAATACTCAGGACCAGTCTTATAGTTGTCATCTTCACAACCGGAGAGAAGATTTCATTGTAATCAACTCCCGGTTTCTGTTGAAAACCCTTGACCACTAGTCGGGCTTTGTACCGTTTGGTACCATCGTGTTCCTCTTTGACCCTGTAAATCCATTTGTTTTGCAATGCCTTCTTGCCGGGGGAAGGTTTGTCTCCTCCCACGTTCTGTTCTTTTTCAATGACTTCATCTCATCCTTCATTGCAATCTCCCACTGCAATGAATCTTTCATTCTAACTGCCTCTGTATAACTTTGAGGCTCTCCATTCTCTGTTAACAACAGAAAATTAGCAGATGGAGAATACTTCTCTGGTGGTACCGATACTCTAGTAGATCTCCTGACCCACTGAGTCTGAGGGGGCGGTGAGGCATGAGCTGTAGTTTCTTCTTCGTCTTCAGAAGTACTGTCTTCAGAAATACTGGTTGGATCCTCTTGAGAACCACTTGTTGAGCCATTTTGAGGTTCAACTTCTGAGCTCCCACTGTCTGAGACACCTGCTGGAGCTTTAGTTTTCACTTCTTCAACCTCTGTATATTCTTTTTGAACTTCTGGTTTGGTTCTGCTTCGGTCTTTGTATAACTCGGCTTCATTGAAGGTGACATTCTTGCTTCTGATTACCTTATGTTTATCGAAATCCTAGAGTCTATAACCCATCTCGTCTGAACCATAGCCGATAAGTGTGTACTTCTTGGCCTTGACATCTAACTTATCCCCGTTTTTCAATAAACTGTAAGCAGCACATCCAAAGATTCTTAGATGTGTAAGTTCTACCTCCTTTCCTCTCCATTCTTCCTCTGGTATTTTGAAATCCAAAGGGACAGATGGCCCACGGTTGATCAGATGGGCTGCAGTGTTAACTGCATCGGCCCAGAACATCTTGGGCAGACTGGCATTCAACCTCATGCTTCTAGCTCTTTCGTTCAAGGTTCGGTTCATCCTCTCAGCAACTCCATTTTGTTGTGGTGTTCCCGGAACCGTCTTGATCATTCTAATTCCTCTTTTGGCACAATAGTCAATGAACTCTTTGCTAATGTACTCCCCTCCATTATCAGACTTGATGCTTTTTACCTTCAAATTGGTTTCCAATTCAACAGCAGATTTCCATTTCTTAAAAGTATCAAAAACATCAAATTTATTTTTCAAGAAATAGACCCATACCTTTCGCGTTGAATCATCAATGAACGTAACATAGTAGTTTGAGCCTCCCAGAGATGAGACTGTTGTTGGTCCATATACATCCGTATGCACGAGCTCCAGCTTCTGTGCTTTTGGCTTCTTTCCTGTCTTCAAGAATGTAACTCTCTTCTGTTTGCCAAGGACACACGATTCACAGAATTCAGTTTTCACTTTCTTCAAGTCTGGAAACTTTCCCTTATCTGCCAACATTTTTAGTCCTTTGTCACTCATATGTCCAAGACGTTGATGCCACAAACTGGATGGAGTCATACCTGAAGACATAGCATGAACACCCTCTTCGGGTATCTCCGTCATGTAAAGAGTTCCCCGTTTCTTTCCACGAGCGATTACCATGTTACCTTTGATCACTTTCCATTTTCCACCCCCAAAGTGAACATCCAACCCTTGATCATCCAACTGACCAACTGAGATCAACTTCCTCCTCAAATTTGGAATAACCCTGACATTTTCCAATGTCCACGTAGTTCCCAAAGAGGTCTTCAAGTCCACATTACCAATCCCTGTAATGTTAAGTACCTGGTCATCAGCTAAACGAACCTTACCATGATTACCTGTTCGTAGGTTTCTAACCATATCCGCGCATGAAACAGCGTGAAATGATGCTCCTGAATCCATGATCCAGGATTCCATAGAACTCTCAACACAACAGATGAGAGCATCATCAGAATCTGATTCTGCCACATTATTTACCTGTTTGTTTGCGGATTTTGTCTTTGGGCATTGACTTCTAAAGTGACCTTTTTCTTTACAGTTCCAGCATTCAATATCAGCCCTTGATTTTGACTAACTCCTCCTTCTTGACTTTGACCTGCCTCTGTTCTTCCCTTTTTCAGCCTTCCTACCCCTTGATTCAGTGTTTAACAAGGAGTTAGAAGATTCACCAGATGTTCTTCGTCTTAAATCCTCACCTAGGATAAAGTCACGTACTCCCTCAAAGGTAAGTTTAGAATTACCAATTGAGCTACTGACGGCTGTTACCGAACTTGACCAACTATCCGGTAATGAGGATAATAACAACAGTGCTTGAACCTCATCCTCAAATTTGATTTCTACAGATTGCAAACGAGAGACTATGACATTAAACTCATTTACGTGAGCTGCAACAGAATCTCCTTCCTTCAATCTGGTGTTAACCAACTGTCTGATCAGAAACACCTTGTTGGAAGCAGATGGCTTTTCGTACATGTTGGATAATGCTTTCATTAACCCAAAAGCTGTTGTCTCATGCTTAATGCTGAAGGCAACATTCTTTGCTAAGGTAAATCTGATATAGGATATTGCTTTCCTATTCAAGGTTACCCAATCTTCGGCCTTTGTCTTCTCCGGTTTCTGTTCTTCTAAGGTTCCATCTAGATCTTTCTGAGTCAGCAAATCTTCAATTTTCATTTTCCACCATCCAAAATCTTGCCCATCAAACTTTTCTATTTTCGACTTTCCTTCCTCTGCCATTAAATATAACGAAGGAATAGAAAATAGGGAACAACAAGAAAAACCTTATCTGTGTTCTTGTAAAAAAGACTGCAATTAAACTGATGGTGACGGCGGACTACCACAGACGCAGTTTCCGGCGGCTGATGGTGGCTGAGGACGGTGGATTACAGCGGCTGGACTGTAAAACTACAATTCAACCTTAGGCGATGATGGCAGCTAGGTTAATTGCTGTTTTCCGGCAGCGGAGGCGGCGGAACCCTAATCCGGCGGCGGCGGCGACTGAACTGCGGCTGACTTGGAAATCTGCAATTGAACCTTAGGTGACGGCGGCTAACTGGTCAATTGCTGTTTTCTGGCAAGGCGGCGCCGAAATCCTGTTCCGGCAGCGGGTGGCAGCGTCGGCGGCAGCTGAAGCAGAAAAACGAACTTCTTTGCTGGTGTTCTGTGTTACGAGCTAGAGCCTAGCTCTGATACCAGTTGTTAAGGATTATCACACTGAACACACACTCTGCAGTAATTAAAGACACAAAGATTTAAGGTGGTTCAGTCGTAATGACCTACGTCCACACTGTTGCAACTAGAAGATGTATTATTTCTGTTTTGCTTCTCTATTTACAGGTACATCAAGAGGATATTTATAGAGTGGGAATAGGGTTACAATATGGGCTTTAAATATGGGCTTAACCCTAATGGGCCGGCTGCCCCCTTAAGCCCTTAAGCCTCCATACATTACACTACTTTGATCATGATTTTCTACTAATATATGTAATCAAATTATTATGTACATTTTTTTTTACTCCAAGGGAGGTCTGGGGGAGGGGGCCCTGGAGTAATCAAGGCTGAAACTCACTCCATTGAGTTTCGAACCTGAGACCTCCCGTAAGGGAGAGTGAGTTGGCGACCAACTGGGTTGGTCCGCTTCCTCATTTATGTATAAAGTATTATTAATATGTAATTAAATATAATTTTAGTCAAAGTTGTGTGTAGGTAAACATGAAATTTTAAAGAACAGAGGTAGTACTAATTTTCAATGATTTGTTTTACTATAGCTCAATAAACTGTAACAATTTAAATAATTTTAAAATAAAGAAAATAAAATTTCTTGAGTTTTTAATCCTTAGATTAAGCGTTTTCAATCATTTCAAAATATATTAATATTTTCATCTCTCAAAATCCACAATTAATCGCTAATCGCTAATGTTCAATAAAATTCAGTGCTTACTTTCACCTATATTGAAAGTTTTATGTTGTTAATAATTAGGGTGAGCAAAAAATGCATCCTTGGTCGATAAATTGTTAACTTTGCCCAATAATGTTAAAGGGATAGAACTCATCCCAACAATAGTAAATGCCAAAACATCGGTAAAAAGAAAAACGTGAACCAAGAAACATTGATAAACTTAACATGTAAGCTTTGAGATGTATATATTGCAATGCCAAAGCAACCATTGAGTGCTACACACCCGGACATAAGTGAGAGTTTAATTTTTTGTTTTTTACATGCTCATTTCATATACACTTGATGAGCATTTGGTACTTGTTGTGCACATTTCAAAATGTCATATCGATGCAGTTCCAGTTATGATAACATTTCAAAATGCTATCAAAAGTGCTGTATGCACTTCCAGATAGAGAAAGGCTCTTGATATCTCGTTAGAGAACGGCTATTCATAACAATGTCTCATGAGAACCATACCATTTGTAATAAAAAAAAAATATAAGAATCATATTAAGAAAAAAATATTGTATAATTTCTTATACTTGACTTACAAACTTTCTTATGCTTATTTCATAATGTTACACTAATGTACAATCACAAGATTCATTTCAATATTTGACACGTAATAAATATATTACAATTTCAATTAATAAAACTAAATTAATAAAAGTAGTTATGTTTTACTGATTCACTAAATAATCTTTGGAGAAACATAGCTCACCCATTTTTCAAGTTCTTTAAACATAAAACACAAAGAAAAAACAAAAACATCTAAACTTTATCCAAAAAGAACTATTATACAAAATATATGTTAACATTTTATACAAGTGCACTAATACATATTTCCCATTTTAAAAAAACATGCAGTTGTATTATTAGAAGAGTTAGATTGACGTTTTTAACTATATTGTTATCCAATTGATTATAAAACAAGAATTAAGATTTTTTATATAAAAGAGAAAAGAAGAAGCAAAGGTTTTGAGAAACAGATGACAATTAGAAAGGTGGTGGCGTGGTGCAAACTGAAAAGTAAAATAATAGAAGTATAGAACATATAAAATTGACTCAGAGTTGAGAGATATTGTAAAGATAATGATTTGTGACCACAACCCGCATTGTCCTTTTTCTTAACTTTACTTACGCAATTTGTAATGTGGAATTACCAACCGTAGGCGCGCCCACACTGACTTGATGGAACAATGAGGGTCTAGCTTCTTATATGCACTAAGGAATAGGGTCTAGAATGAAAGATAAGTTTCATAGTTCTTCCAATCACTTCTGCCAAAACTTTAGAAGTGGACTTAATGGCAAACTACATTTTTAATATGGATTGAACACAAACCAAGGAAAGGATACTCTAATAATTTAGATGTCGATAATCACTAATATTGGTTGGAGTGAAGTTATACTGTTACCCCCTCCGTTTTGAAATGTTTGCCACAATATGGTTTGACACAATATTTAGGAGAAATATAACAGGGGTAGTGAATAGTGTAGAAGTAGAAAAGGATGGAAAAGTATGAAAGAGAAGGCAAACCGTAAAGGTAATTGAGTTTTTTTTATAATGGGAAAACTATCAATAAAGGAAGTGTAGCAAACATTTCAATACGAAGGGAGTATTATAATTAATTTTTTGAACTCTAAAGTTCAAACCAATTGAATAATCGGCAATGGTATGTACTTTGGGTAAGAATAATTTTTTGTCAGGGAAAAGAACCATTGGAAAAGATTATATTTCATGAAACATCAGGTATCAAAGCTAGTGTTTTCATACAGTATCTCTCAAAGAAAATCATATTGTTTCCGAAATTCTAAACCCTAAACTCTAAATCCCCTAAAACCGAGACCCTAATAATCTAATATAACATTTTTAATTTTAGTTTATGAAGTTGTATCTGTTTCTCTGGTGTAGGGATTGAAGTTGGACATCAATTTTTCTCGCGATGTGAAATGGTTGTTATTGGTTTCCATACCCATTGGCTCAATGGCATTGATTACATTGGGCAAACAAAACAAAAGGTACTATGTTTTTGCCTTAGGTAATGTTACATCAAATAATGGAAAATATAGAAGATTGATAGAGAGCAGGGATAGCAGGGGACGTGAACGGGCTTGGGCCCACCTCCGTAGGCTGGTTATGGGCTGGGATTATAGTTTTATTTATTATTTTAAAGTTTATGTTATGTTTTCTAGTTTGGGCCTATTATTAGTGAAGTATTTAGTAGAGTTAATTTGGGCATAATTAAGGTTTACTTAATTTGGGCTCGATTATGATTTCTATTAGGTCTGTTAGTAGAAGGGTATTTATACCCCTTGTTAGGATTAATTCTGGGTCATCTATGAATAAAATTGGAGTTTAGTTTTTGACTCAGGGCAACTGTTTCTATCGTTGATTATTCTGGTCAACTGTTTATTCCGTTGATTTTTATTTATTGTTTTTATCAATTGGTCCAACCTTCCTGATCCCGTCCTACCGGAATGACGATATCTCACAGCTATCCTTGACAGAGATGGAGGCCGAGCAAACCCGGATGAACTAGACCTTGGTAGAACACGACCTACAATTGGCCGCGATCGCTGCATCACTAACGGCGCTCACCAAGGCACTCATACTGCTGGCGATGGTGGACAGCTTGTCAGCCGCGGTCTCCAGGGCCGCTGTAGCGGCAAATAGTGGCGACGGAAATTTGCGCAGCTCCACACCGACCTTGCTGCCATCGTTCGACGGAGAAGACCCCATTAGATGGATGGCCAGGGCTGAACAACAGTTTGAAATCAATCAAACCCCTCCTGGAAGAAAAGTGACAGCAGATATGGTAGCCATGGAAGGGGCTGCCCTTTACTGGTTGACCAGGTAGAAGCCACGGAAACGGGCATGACCTTGGAAGAATTCACACAAGAACTGGTGGCCCTATTTGTTTAATGGTTCAAAGACGGCCATTTTGTACGGGGTCCTGGGTCAAACAGTTGGGAACTGTAGAGGAATATAATAACTTTTTTGTTCAATTGGCCAGTCAAGTTCCCGGGCTGTCCGATGATCATTACTTGGGGTATTTCATGAACGGGCTGAAGGGACCGATTTGGGGATCCTTGCGGTTGCTGCGGCCAAACAGCCTGGAGATAGCAATGGAGTTGGCCAGAGATATTGAGGACAACATGTCCTTTCAAGATGGAGGCCGGGAAAGCCAACCCTACTAGACGGACTCGCATTCGTGCAGTTTTTCGCGCCCGAGTGGCGGTAACAGCACGACCATTAGTGATGGCAGCTTAAGGGAATCGAGTGGCAGCTTTCCTAAAGACATTGGGCAGCCCTCGGGGACAAATTCAGGACTGTCCAGGCAGTCTACTGCACCCTCTTGGTTCACTCGACTTCCGCCAAAGGACTTGGAAGAATTGCGGGCAAAAGGGTTATGCTTTAGGTATAAGAAACTATTAACACTAGGGCATGTCATTAAGCAGTTACAGGTGATGATAGCTTAGGAGGATGAAGAGTTGGACCTCTGTTAGTAGTATTGTACATAACAGATTTGTAATAAGTCTCGTTAGAACTGGATAGAACTTTACAGTTTGCTTGGAGTCTGTTATGAGTTAGTTACAGTCCTAATGACTATAAATATCTGTACAGCTTGTTCCTGAAACTAATAAGATGATTTCATTTCTGATTCTGTTATCTTTCTAATATGGTATCAGAGCTATAAGCTCGTTCCTCAATGGTGACCTCAAGTTCGGATTCCGTTTCTTCTCAAACCCCAAAAATCACTTCCGCTCCGATCATCTTCAATCATCCTCTTCCTATTAAGCTTGATTCGCACAATTTTCTTCTATGGAAACATCATGTCAGATCTGTTGTTCGTGCTCATAAACTGCTCAAATTCATTGAGAAACCTGAGATTCCGGAAAGATTCATAGCCGGCGATGGAGAAGGTACGAAGGTTGAGAACGATGCATACGTCCTTTGGGAGCAGCAGGATCAAATGTTATTTTCTTGGCTGCTAGCGTCTCTCTCCGAAACCTTGCACACTCGCGTGATTCATTGCCAATTTTCATATCAACTCTGGAATGAAATTGACAAATATTTTCAGGCAATCATTGTCGCCAAAGCTAGACAGCTCAAGTCTGAGCTGTACTCAATCGGAAAGGGTGATCGATCTATCGCAGATTATCTCCTTCGCATTCAGCACATCGTTGATAATCTGATGAACATTGGTGAACCTGTTTCTACCAAAGAACATATTAATGTTATCCTGGAAGGACTTCCAGAGGAGTACGAATCTCTTGTCTCCTCTGTGTCATCTCGAAGCATGTTGGATCCTATCACTCTTACAGAGCTTGAATCTCTACTGCTTGCTAAAGAATTACGACAGAAGAAACTCAGAGAATCTTCTCAACAAACATTGTTTTCGGCAAATTTAGCTCGTGCAGAAGCTCCATCTCCTAATTCTGAAACTGTTCCTCCAACAACTACAGAAACTTCTTCAGCAAGTATTGCTCAGTATCAAAATCAACCTTCTAATCCTCTCTACAGGGGACGAGGTCGTGGAGGCTCTTTCAGAGGACGAGGTGGCCGATATGGAGGTCGGAATAGTGTTGCTTGTCAAGTTTGTGGAAAGAATGGTCATAATGCCCTGAACTGCTATCACAGGTATAATCCTGCATACGCTGCTTCCACTCCAAATTATTTCAATCAGAACTCTGCACCTCCTACCAATGCTTACAATCAACAATCATTAGCCCCTTCTCAAAACATCTATCCTAATTTCCAAATGCACTATCCTAACTATCCAAATCAGATATGGAATCATCAATCTCCTCAATCATCTTCCTTCAGATCACATGGCTACCCAACAGAATTTGTTAACTACAACCAGCAACCTCCAAACCATGCTCCAACTGCAGCTATGGCATCTATTCACTCCTCTGTGCTTGGACCAGGGCCCTCATCCCAGCACTGGTTCCCTGATTCAGGAGCTACGCATCATGTGACTGCTGACCCACTAAATCTCCAACATAGTGAGCCATTTGCTTCAACTGATAAGCTTTTTATGGGTAATGGACAAGGTGTGGATATACAGTCTGTTGGACATTCCTCTTTTCCCTCACCCTATCACTCTTCCACACTTCTTTCATTAAACAATATCTTGCATGTTCCTTCCATTACAAAGAATCTTTTAAGTGTCAGCCAATTTGCCAAAGACAACAATGTTTTCTTTGAGTTCTTTCCTCATGATTGTTTTGTGAAATCACAGGTTTCTAAGAAGGTTTTACTGCATGGAATCCTTGGTGAGGATGGTCTTTACAAATTTCAAATATCACCAGTCATTGGTTCATCACAGTCTGTTCAAGTTCCACAGTCTTCTCAGTCTGCCAACATGTCATCTTGTTTAACTACTTGCACTCAGTCTTCATTATGTAATAAGTCCCAGTCCTGTAATCAATCATCTGATTGTAATGTGTGGCACTTAAGACTAGGGCATCCTCATCTTGAGGCCTTGCAGCTTGTACTCAAACATTGTAATATTCCTGCAATTAATAAAAATCATGTTGAATTTTGTTCTTCTTGTTGTCTTGGCAAAGCACACAGATTACCTTCTCATACATCCACTACTCAATTTCATTCTCCTTTTGAGCTCATATTCACTGATTTATGGGGACCAGCTCCAGTGTTATCTTTTGATGGCTATTCTTACTATATTGCCTTCATAGATGCTTTTAGCAGATATACTTGGATTTATTTCCTTAAAAAGAAATCAGATGCACTCATAGCCTTTCAAAACTTCTATCAATATGTCCTCACACAGTTTTCTGTCCCTATTAAATCTGTTCAGTCAGACTGGGGAGGTGAATTTAGGTCCTTTACTCAGTTTCTCTCAGAAAAAGGAATCAATCATAGAGTCATTTGCCCTCATACACACCATCAAAATGGTGTTGTTGAGAGGAAACATCGTACAATTGTTGAAAAAGGACTTTCCCTACTTGCTCACTCTTCTTTGCCATTCAAATTCTGGGACAGTGCCTTTGCCACCTCAGTCCACCTTATAAACAGAACACCTTCCAAATCCATTCATAACCTTAATCCTTATTTCAAACTTTATGGGTCTCACCCAGATTATCTCTTTCTCAAAGTATTTGGTTGTTCTTGTTATCCATTCTTGAGGCCCTACAATAAGCACAAAATGGATTTCCACTCTGAAGAATGCATATTTCTAGGCTATTCTTCTCACCATAAAGGCTATAAGTGCCTATCCTCCTCTGGCAGAATCTACATTTCCAAAGATGTCACCTTCAATGAATCTAAATTTCCTTACCCAAGTCTGTTTCAATCCAACAATACCATTTCAAATCATACTTCTTCCACAACATCTGCTCCTATTACCATCTTTCCTTCACTCTCTTCACATTTACCTACTGTTTCTTCCTCTCCACAGCCTATCCCCTCACAGCTCCCTAACACTCAGAATTCTCATCATTCTTCCAATCATTTATCTAGCACTCAAAATTCTCCTCACTCCACCCTACCAGCTGGTCAGCTTGATCATTCTTCCCCTACTGTTTCTTCTTCCTCTACCCCTGACACAACATCATCTTCTCCTAATTCCATATCACCTCCACCTATCACAAACACTCATCCTATGACCACTAGGGCAAAATCTGGAATTGTCAAACCAAGATTGAATCCTACCTTGCTGTTATCCCATACTGAGCCTAACTCAGTTAAGCAAGCTCTTTTATCTCCAAACTGGTTTGCAGCCATGAAATCTGAATATGATGCCTTGATGAAGAATAAGACATGGACTTTAGTTCCTCTACCACCAGACAAGCAGGCAGTAGGGTGTAAATGGGTGTTCAGAGTTAAGGAAAACTCAGATGGTACCTTAAATAAGTTCAAAGCCAGATTAGTGGCTAAAGGGTTTCATCAAAGATATGGGTTTGATTTTGGTGAAACATTTTCACCAGTTGTTAAGCCAGTAACAATCAGAGTTCTTCTCACACTTGCAGTTTCTCATCACTGGACTATTCAGCAGCTAGATGTCAATAATGCCTTCCTAAATGGAGAATTGGAAGAAGAGGTTTACATGGTACAACCTCCAGGTTTTCAGGCAAAAGATACCTCTCTTGTTTGCAAACTGCATAAGTCCCTCTATGGGCTCAAACAAGCTCCAAGAGCTTGGTTTCAGAAACTCACATCTGTCTTATACAAGGCTGGTTTTAACCAAAGCAAGTGTGATCCATCTCTTCTCATCTATAAGAACTGTGGAATCCAAATCTACATTCTTATCTATGTAGATGACATCCTGGTTATTGGAAATGAACCTAATGCTATTCAACATCTCATCCAGAAACTACACTCCTCATTTTCTCTTAAGAATCTAGGGGAAGTTGATTACTTTCTAGGGATTGAAGTCAGAAAGCTTCCAAATGGAAGTCTTCATTTATCCCAAACCAAATACATCAGAGATTTACTTCATCAAGTTGGTATGACAGATTCAAAAGGAGTTAAAACTCCTATGGTCAGTAGTTGCAAACTTACAAATCAAGGGAGTGAACCATTACCTGATTCTACTACCTACAGGTCTATTGTTGGAACACTGCAGTATGCCACTTTAACAAGGCCTGAAATAAGTTTTGCAGTCAATAAGGTATGTCAGTTCATGGCTACACCTCTACAAGATCATTGGAAAGCTGTTAAGCATATTCTCAGATATCTTTCTGGCACCATTACTCATGGTATCATCATCAAGCCTATTCCACTCAGCAGTATCTCTTTACCCATCTCAGCTTTCTGTGATGCTGATTGGGCATCTGACCCAGTTGACAGAAGATCTACATCAGGGTCTTGTATTTTTCTTGGTTCTAATATCATCTCTTGGTGGTCCAAGAAGCAGCAGCGTGTAGCCAGATCCTCAGCAGAAGCTGAGTACAGGAGCTTAGCAGATACCACATCTGAGTTGCTATGGATTCAGTCTTTGCTTCAAGAGCTTAAAATACCTTATCAGACTCCAAGTGTGTACTGTGACAATCTTAGCACAGTACAGCTAGCTCATAATCCAGTTCTTCATTCCAGAATAAAACATATGGAGATTGATCTTTTCTTTGTGAGAGAAAAGGTTCAGTCCAAGCAGCTTGCAGTATATCATATCCCAGCTCTTCATCAAATAGCTGATGTTCTCACCAAGCCACTTTCAGCCTCCTCATTTCTTGATTTGAGAACCAAACTTAGTGTGATTGAATGTCCACATCAATCACCCTAACTTTGAGGGGGGAATGTTAGTAGTATTGTACATAACAGATTTGTAATAAGTCTCGCTAGAACTGGATAGAACTTTACAGTTTGCTTGGAGTCTGTTATGAGTTAGTTACAGTCCTAATGACTATAAATATCTGTACAGCTTGTTCCTGAAACTAATAAGATGATTTCATTTCTGATTCTGTTATCTTTCTAATAACCTCCAACAACATGATTATTGTGAAATAACCTGCCAGGAAAAGGTTTAGAAAGACCAGGGGGTCCGGAAGGAGATGAGGGATATTTTTCAGTCTATTCTAACTTCTAAGACTGGAATTTTCAACCCTCGAACTATGAGATTTCAACCTTGAGGACAAGGTTACTTTGAAAAAGGATGGATGGATAGAGAGCAAGGAGAGCAGGGGGCGGGAACGGGATTGGGCCCACCTTCGTGGTGTGGTTATGGGTTGGGATTATAGTTTTATTTATTATCATAAAGTTTATGTTATGTTTTCTAGTTTGGGCCTATTATTAGTATAGTATTTACTAGAGTTAATTTGGGCTTAATTAGGGTTTACTTAATTGGGGCTCTCGATTAGGGTTTCTGTTGAGTCTGTTACTAGAAGGGTATTTATACCCCTTGTTTGGATTCATTCTGGATCATCTATGAATAAAATTGGAGTTTAGCCTTTTGGCTCTGGGCAACAGTTCTATTGTTGATTATTCTGGGCAACTGTTTGTTCTGTTGAAGTGTTGATTTTTATTATCTGTTTTTTATCAAAGATCTCATTCAAGTCATGCTCTGTTTTTGTTTTGTACAACCTAGGATTGGAGGATCATGTTGCAATACCTTACGGCCTTGTAATAATCAAACGTGCAACTTTCCTTGTACTTGGTGCACTGCTGGCACAACGAAGTAACATGTAGATCATGTTGTCATACCTCACAGCCTCGAGGCTTGAGGATTTTACCAATTTACGTGAATCCAAATTCAAATTACTTTACATGATCACTTAAACACTTGTAATATTTACACGTTTACACACTTAAGAATTTTAAACTAAATATTTTAAATATCTATTACTATTCATTACTAATACACCATTTAGCTCAACACTATACAACCCTTCATTGTGCCCAGCAGTGCTTAGAGCTTGTAAACATAGATTTGTATGCCAACGGTTTTTTCGAGCTTTATTACAGTCTTCTGTTACATATTGGGCTTTCTTTCTTATCCAAGGCTACTGACTGATGTATTTTTCAAGTTCCCATAGGAGGTAGTTTCACTATCATATAACCTGCTACTGCATTATTTTTTCATTATATAATAACTTAAGGAGTTAAGGAGTATGTTATAGCTCATCGATAGCTTTTGCATTTAACTTTTTGCCGGTGAGATTGAACATAAAGAGACCCCCACATGCCTAAATGTTTCTTCATGTCATAGGAGTTTGAAGGATACAAAATGCCTCTTGCAACAGCTATTGTATTATCAGGCCAGTATGAGGATGACCAGGACAACTATGAAGAAGTTGTCTACACGGGTCAAGGTGGGAATGATTTATTGGGGAAAAAATGTCAAATTAAAGATCAAGTAATGCAAAGGGGTAACCTGGGCCTCAAGGTTTGTAACTTATGTTCTATCTTTCCACACTTGCAGCTCACGTCTTTTTGTATTTACTATTGATTTATTTAAGGCTTAAATATGTTTTTACACCTGTAAATATATTGCATTTCGATTTACCTACTTGCATTTTTTGTTTTTCATTCCTGTATTTTATGTTGCTTTTTTTTAGTCCATTACGGATCATAGCATTTACTTGTTTTAGTCTTGTTGTATTTACTATTGATTTATTAAGGCTTAAATATGTTTTTACACCTGTAAATATATTGTATTTAGATTTACCTACTTGCATTTTTTGTTTTTCATTCCTGTAATTTATGTTCCTGTAAAAAAAATCTGAATGATTAGTTTTACTTAGTTTTAACTGTCATATAAGCCTCAATAAAGTTATAAAATGGAATTTTAAAGTCTACCAGATTTATTGAACATAATTTATTTTTTGCTAAGTAAAGTGGTATTGGAGTTCGAGATGTACTAAAAAGAAAATAATGCATATTACTAGGTTGGAAAAAATATTTTGCCAATATCTTAACTAAAATGTTTCATATTTGCTGGCACTAAAAATAGGTTTAACCCTTTATTTAATCAATTGGGCAAACACTCATCTTTAGCTTAATCAGTTTGTTCTAATAGGCTTTTTGGTACTTTTACAGAACTGCATGGAACAATCTGTGCCTGTTCGATTTGTACGTGGACATCGATGTCAGAGTAGTTATGTGGGAAAGGTTTACACCTATGATGGTTTGTACAAGGTCAATGCTTTATCTCTTTCCAGATTTCCATTGTTTTAAAAAATACACCTTGCTATTACCTTCTCTGTGGCGATTGCTAAAGGCTGTTGTGTACAATTTCGTCCAAGGTTTTGGAAGATACAAAGTAAGAGAGGATGATCAATGTGGTTTGGTTATTTGAGGAATAATAACCAGTACATAGTTTAACTAGATAGCAATATTTTTATAACATGCTGTGAGAATACACTATCAAATTGGTAACCCTCTGATATCATATATATGTGTGTGTGTGAAATAATAAGTACAAGAGAATCATTAGTAGAATTAGAAATACAAAATACTAAGGTTATCTAACAAAGTAACAGTACAATAAGTATATTAATATTACCATATTACACCCCTCAATCTGAGTTGGAGGACCCATGCACATATTGCTATGTAGAAACTGAAACCTCTGAGCTGACAAATTAGTAATAAAAATGTCTGCAAGCTGAAGCTGAGAAAGGATATATATAATCCCAAGATTCCCATGAGCAACATGTTTCCGCATAGTCAATGTTGATGCGTTAGATGCCGGCATGCAATTGGATTGACTGGGAGATAGGAGGCAAAGATATTATCACAAAGCAATAGCCCTGTATATGCAATAGCCCTGTATTCCTCTTTAGTAGAGGAATGTGAGACTGTAGGTATTCTCTTATATCACCAGGAGACCAAATCAGATCCCAAAAATACAGCATAATCAGTAGTGTGGATCGATTGCTATAAGGGCAATCTACATCAGAATAGGTAAGAATAGCAATGTGGTCAGAAGATGGTTGTAAGAGAAGACCAAAATCGGAAGTGCTGTGTAAATACCTGAGAACAAGATTAACAACAGAGATATGTCAAGTGGGGGAGCATGCATGATAGTTCCTGATAACCTTTATATTCGTGTTGGAGAGAAGCATTTGGGAGTCTTTGAAGAAACACCATGATAATTCCACGTGTTTTAGTGTAACATCTTTGAAACTATACCCTTTTATGTTCAGGAGCATAAGAGAAAATTATCAAACAAACCCTTACTATATATATATATATATATATATATATATATATATATATATATATATATATATATATATATAAAATAAGACAATTAACCCCTGGAACACTTTACAATTATCCGGTATAACCTTAATGCATCCTAGATGGCGGGTCTAATAATCCCACCTATTGGCGGTCTTCTTACAATTGTCCCACTTAACCGTAATTCAGGAGTTTGTTAAGGGCCTTGGTACAGGATCTCGTCCAAGGCCGTTGATAATGAAAGACAGGATCTGAAGCTATGATGTTGGAATAAAAAACCCTAACTTCCTGCCCTGGGCAAGGAATGTGATCCCGGGCTCCACCAGTAAATCAAGAGATTACTTAATCCAAACTTAATACTTTATTCAAACTGATAAGCCGTATATAGGCAGAAATAAGGTTCCTAAATAATATTAGGAAACAGATCTAAACTACTACAGACTCATTAATAAGAGACTGCCTAAAATAAGGAAGGCTAAATAAATGGAAACAACTATGATAAGGAAAGCAGAATAAAAGGAAACAACTTGAATAACTTAAGGGAAATAATTAAGACAGTTGGACAATTAATTAACTAGGCTCCTTTTATGTGCCTCAAATAAACATGACCAAAATGACATGCATCATTACTCCCTCCGTTAGCATCAAGCTTGTCCTCAAGCTTGAAATTTGGAAATCTCTCCCGAAATATAGCATTATTCTCCCAGGTGGCCTCTTCCAGTTTACCCGCCCAATGTACCAAGAGCTCGTGCTGACCATTATTGTGACAGTTCACCCATTTGTGCCGGTGTGGGACCTGAGTGAGGTTTTAGAAGGGAGACGTGAAACACATTATGAATGCGGGTATCCAGTGGCAAGGTCAGGCGGTAGGCTGCGAGCCCAATAACTTCTGAAACTTGAAAAGACTCAAAGAACTTTTGCAAAAGTTTGTGGTGACCACGACTAACTGTGAGTTGCCTGTAAGGGTGAGTGCGTAACCAAACCCAATCTCCTGGAGTGAATGTTACCAGTTACCTCACGATGGCCGCTATTATACTGTAGCTTCATTCTCTGTTGAGCTTGGGTCAGACGGCCTTTGGCAGCACTGAGGATGGCATTGCTATCTAGGAGCTCATGGTCAATGTTGGCCAGTTTGGCGGTTCCTTGTGTATAAGACAAGCTAGGGTGGTTGTCTGCCATAGACAAGCCGAAATGGAGCATCTCCAAGGGACGAATGGGTAGGAAGTACTGTAGCAATACTCAACCCAAGGCAGCCAGCGTACCCAATCTTGGGTTCTATCACTTGTGAGGCAGCGAAGAAACATTTCAACGGTGCAATTGCCAACTTCTGTCTGACCATCAGTTTGTGGATGATAGGCAGAAGAGCAAGCCAGCTTTGTAACGCTAAGGCAGAATAATTCCCTCCAAAAAGTACTGACAAATTTTTTATCACGATCTGAGACAATGGACTTGGCAACCCATGAAGCCGAAATATTTCTGTGAAAAAAACTGCAGCAGTAGACGTGGCAGTGAATGGATGACTCAGAGCAAGAAAGTGAGCTGCCTTAGAAAGCCGGTCCACCACCACAAGCATGACTGATTTGCCCTGGACTTTGGGTAGGCCTTCAATAAAGTCGATTGAGATGTCCGCCCAATTATGAGTAGGAATAGGTAGCGGTTGTAGTAGGCCAACTGGTTGTGTGTTAAGCCACTTGTGTTTTTGACATACCTGGCAATCTCGTACAATAGCCGCTCACAGTATTCCCATTTAGAATTCAAACTGCCAGATTCAATTTGATGACGTAACTGGAGGATCTTGGGGGACCCTGCTTGAGCCTTGCAGTTGTCCAGTAGAGAAGATAAGGTGTCACCTGCAATATTGAGCTTGCCTATAAGCTCAACTTCGAAATCGTAACCCATAAGGTTGCTCAGCCAATGCTGTTTAGGAGAGGTGGTGAGCCGCTGGTCCAGAAGATGCTGATACCAAATTGTTAAGGGCCTTGGTACAGGATCTCATCCAAGGCCATTGATAATGAAATACGGGATCTGAAGCTATGATGTTGAAAATAAAAAAACCCTAACTTTCTGCCCTGAGCAAGGAAGGTGGTCTCTGGCTCCACCAGTAGATCAAGAGATTAATTAATCCAAACTTAATACTTTATTCAAACTGATAAGCCTTATATAGGAAAAAATAAGGTTCCTAAATAATATTAGGAAACAAATCTAAACTATTACAGAGTCATTAATAAGAGACTGCATAAAATAAGGAAATTACTATAAAGGGAAACAACTACGATAAGGAAAGCAGAATAAAAGGAAACAACTTGAATAACTAAAGGGAAATAATTAGGACAGCTTGTGGACAATTAATTAACTAGGCTCCTTTTATGCGCCTCTGGTACACACTATCAAAACGATGTGTATCAGAATAATCTCATCTTTGCACCCCATCTTCTTTCATCAGTAGTCCCTGACCGGTTGATGACCTGGTATTCCTGGTTATTTTCTTTTCTTTGCAAATCATTAAACCATAAATTCCACTTCTTATAAATCTTCTCAAAACGGTCACACATATGATTTTTCTTTTTTCTTCCTAAAAGTTCTCTCTTTTTTTTCTTTATCATCACAATGCTTTTATTTCTTTTTATTTTTATTTTTTATTTTTATTTATTTGCCTTGTTTATGTATTCCTCGCTTCTTTCCCTTTTATGTATTCCTATTCGTTGTAGTCCCTTTTTTTTCTCCGGTTACTTGTTTGTATTTTTTCTTTGAATTTTTCAGAAAAGAAAAAAATATATTAGTGGTGGAATCAAGATAACACAAGGAAAAATGAAATAAATAAGTGGACGTCAAGAGAAAGTAAAGTAAAAAATTAGTAGGGTATAAATGATCTTTTATAAAAGATCATTTATAAGGTAACTAATCTGAAAATTACATAAAAATGGAAATGAAATAATAACCAAGAAGAAGAAAAAAGAAAGAAAAAATGGAATACATAAACATGGAAAAGAAATAAAAATAAGAATAAGAAGAGAAAAAAGGGAGAAAAAGAATCAGGAGGATAAAAATAAAAAGAGAATTTTTAGGGAGAAAAAACAAAAATGATACGTGGGAGAAGATGAGGTGAAAGGTGTGATTTATGGTTTGATGTTTTGCAAAGAAAAGAAAATAATAACTTGGAATAGCAGGTCGTCAATTAGTCAGGGACCGATGGAAGACAAATGAGGTGCAAAGGTGAGATTATTTGTTTTCAATTTCCCTATTTTTTGTTCCTTTTTTCTTCCCCTACAGTTTCTTTTCCTCTTTTTAGTTTCTTACTATTTCTTCTTTTTCAAATTCTTTTGTTTTTTCTTCTCTTTGGTTTCTTTGTCTTTTCTTTAGTTCTTTTCTTATCATTTCCCAATTTTCCATGGCCGAGAAAAAACTTTGAGATCATACAGGGAGAATGCTGCTGCTGATAGGGGAAAAAACTAGAAGGTTTTACTTTCTTTTTCGTCGAGATTGATTTGGTATCAGATATGAATCTCAAAGGAGCATGTTGCAGATGCCTGATGGGACAGGTCACAAGTTCAGCTATCTCCATTTCCGGATTGCATCGTTCGAAAATAACTTTAAGATCCTTGGCAGCTGATAGGGGAAAAACTAGAAGGTTTTACTTTCTTTTTCGTCGATATTGATTTGGTATCAGCTATGAATCTCAAAGGAGCATGTTGCAGATGCCTGATGGGACAGGTCACAAGTTCAGCTATCTCCATTTCCGGATTGCATCGTTCGAAAATAACTTTAAGATCCTTGGCAGCAGTGCAAATACTCAATGGACTGGTATCATTCCTTGCATCTTCTCCAAGTAAGGATGGACGATAGCTGGTGTGTGCAACGTTCCAGGATAATGATTCGAGAACGAGCAGTAATCTGCGTAGGAAATCCTTAGAATAGGATTTCGAACTAAACTGGTTGATCAACGTAATGGTAGTGTAGGGAAGAAGAAAGGAGTTCACATCAATCCATGCATACGTACAAATGAGCTAGGAACAAGCTAATATGCTCATGGATCGCTAAGGTAGCTGCCAGAAGCTACTAGACACTAGGGACATGTACCAGCCCTCTCCCCCGCCAGCATGGCTCATTCGGCCCACCCAACACACGCCAACCAGACCAACAAAAAAGGAAAATACAATGTATGCATAACAATCCACCACCTACAAATACAGCTTGTCCTCAAGCTGTCAAGTTTCTTTCCACAAACTCCGAAAATCTCTTTGCCAGGTCTCTTATTTCTCCCAAGTGGCACCTTCTTGTTACCTCCATTGCACAAGCCAATAAACTGCAGCCTTGTTTCCCACTCTAGCTAGTTTCCTGTCCAGCACCATCATAGGCTTCATGACTCCAATAGATTTTCCATATCATCCAGATTAGGTAATGAGGAAGTGGAAGGAGTGTCTGCATGGTGTTTCTTCAACTGTAAAATGTGGAATACGGGATGTATTTCGGACTGCTCCGGAAGCTTTAGCTTGTAAGCAACCGGCCCAACCCTAGTAATCTCGAAAGGTCCATATAACCTGGGAGATGGCTTTTGGTTGCTCCTGTGAACCACAGAACCACCCTATGTTTGTCAGCCTGGCTTGTCATTCTGTCTTGTGCACGCTTTAAATGAAGCTTCTTCTTTTGAATGCACTCCTCTCTAGCTATAAGGCTGCAAACCACTGCTTCTACTAAACTCTCCCCATGTACATAAGGAAGGTGTGCAGCTGGTGATTGGCCATAAACGACTTCATAAGGAGTGACCCCCGTGGCAGAATGATAATTGTTGTTATACCACCATTTGCCAAAGCAATCTACTTAGCCCACTCCTTGGTGTTCCCCTGTCATACATCTCAAAAAGGTTTCCAAACACTTGTTCTCCTGTCATACATTTTTAAAAAATAATACGATCGTACATTTTTTTATTCTTAAATTTATGTCTAGAGGAATGACCCCAAACTCTGGGATTACAGCTTGTATGTTGTTTGTTGTTTGTATCGTATGGATAGTGAACAATAATTTTAGGAGGGTGAAGAGTGTTAATATATCGGTACATGAAAGATCTTATTCTTTCAATGTAGTTGCTGAGATTTATATGGGCTCATGCCTTTGGTCATATTGCTTGTATAGGTTGTTAATTATTGGGCTGAAAAAGGCATTTCAGGATTCACTGTCTTCAAGTTTCGCCTTAAACGTCTTGAAGGACAACCTCCATTGACAACAAACCAGGTTTTTATAATTTTACTTTTGCCATTGATTTTGATAATGGCATTTTGTTTTGTGCTTGGTATAATGTGAAAACATATGAAGAAAGGTTTTCAGTTTTGATCACAGTGCTGCTGTACAAATAACGTGACACTGTTTATAGGAATCTATCTCTACATTTATGTACATGTACATAAAAATTCTCGCAACAAAAACATACATGAAATGATACTTTCTATGAAGCGCATACAGGTGAAGAGTGTTTGTGGGACGGACTCTAGTTCAATCATGTCATTTTAGGAAAAAGATCTCTTTTACTTGTTAAAGTAGAGCTTTTCCCTCTACTTATTTTCATATTTAAGCATGTGTACCCCGACTTTGATGAAACCAAAACCTTAGTTATAATTGTTATGTATGTGTTTGTTTATGGATTTATGGTCAGCTTTCCACCCCTTTCTAGGTTCATTTCGTTCGAGGTTGCATTCCAAATTCTGTCTCTGACATACGAGGGTAAAACTTTTATGTTGAGTATTTTGTGTGTTTTTTCCATTTAGTATTATTCTTCCTCGAATGTGATGTATGCCTTCACATAACTTTAGGTTAGTATGTGAAGATATATCTGGTGGCCTAGAGGACATCCGGATTCCAGCCACTAATCTGGTTGATGATGAACCAATTCCACCTCCAGGTGGGTAATTCTTTTAAGGGCTTTCAATGAATTCATACACTTGCAGTCTAAGTAGCACGGAGACGCAAAATGGGAAACATGAAATGAGAAACGGGAAACACGGGAAACCTAATTTCTAAAAAATATATGATACGGAACTTGGGGGCACGTAAATATTAAAAAATATAAGGATATATTTATAAATACTTTTTCGTATATGTACATGATTTTTGTTGTAACTTGCGTAATGACCCAATAATCAAAACATTCTACATCTTCAAATTTTGAAATCATTACTAAGTAACATATTAGCACAAAATGTTAAAATGTTGTTGCGAAGAAATACCATAAAAATTCACTAAACTTTTTTAAAAAGACACTATTTTCCATCACAGAACTACTTTCCTAATTCTTCTCAATTGCGGTAATGGACTAACGGCCCCAAACAGGATTTTGAAGTATCCGAAATGCTTTTGAGTTTCCGAAATAGGGAAACGTGAGCCGTAGAGAACTTCCCGTGCTTCATAGCTTGCAGTGCTTCAATATTTTTGTAAATATCTGAGCATCTCATATTCTTTTTATTATCACACATATACTTCCACACAGGCTTCACTTATATCAAGAAGTTGAAATGGCCAAAAGATATAGCAGTGCCTCCAAATGGACCTGGTTGCAATTGCAAGGGCTCATGTTTTGACCCTAAAACATGTACTTGTGCAAGACTTAACGGATTTGATTTTCCATATGTAGCCAAACATGGTGGCAGGTGTGTTCGTAGCTACCTAGGTTGTTTATGTCTTTGTATTGAGATATCACCATTCAAATTCCTTGACAAACTACAACTGATTCGAAACTGTCAATGTAATCTATCTTTTATAGGCTCATAGAACCAAAAGCAGTTGTTTTTGAATGTGGTCCAAATTGTGGTTGTGGATCTGGATGTGTCAATCGGATCTCTCAATTAGGAATTAGGTTTCGGCTTGAGGTTCTATTACAATCACATTAAACTACTTTGATATATATTTTCTTCTATTCTGTAGTATTGAAGTTAATTAGTTATTCACCCCCCTTTTAACTTGTTGCAGGTCTTTCGTACTCCCAATAAAGGTTGGGGTGTAAGATCATGGGATTATATACCTTCTGGTGCTCCCATTTGTGAGTACGTTGGGAGACTGATGAAGACTGATCAAGTAGATCCCTCTGCTGATACAAATTATGTCTTCGACATTGACTGCTTGCAAACAATGAACGGCTTGGATGGAAGAGAGGTACAAATCCTGTAAATTAGTTTCTTCCTATATTTTGGTGAGAAAAAGATCTGGTCCGAGACTCTGAATCAGTTCATTAATCACATATATACACAATTATTTCTGTTGATCTTTAATTTTAATTTTTTTCTGTTATATAAAGATTAAAGAATGAAGACTAATGAATTTAAATGTGCATTTTTACCATCTTTCTATACCATTTTCCAATTTAAAGCCTAACATTTTTTAGGCTTCTTTACATTTATTATTACCATTCTTTCTATATGAGTTTTACAATTTTCAAAATTTGAATACTCCCAATAGGTCGTACTGCCTTTTTACAAAAAGACCTGAGCAGCTTTTACCCTGTCTCTACATTGGATCAAGAACAGGGTCGTCAGAAGGATAAAAAACCGCTAATTCATACACAGCCATGGAACTTGCCCACCCCGGACCCTGAGCTGTATGCATAATATGAACTGAAAACAACTGACCAGGATCATTTAATACAACAGTATGAACACGATACCAAGGAAAACCAATGGGAATAACCCTTTCATGAAATATAAATAGACACTTCAGAATGTGCAATAAACATTGTTTATCAATTTCTAAGATCCAATATACCCTTTAGGCTCTGTTTGGAACCCGGAGATCACTATGGAAAGAAAACAGTGTAAGAAATTGTAATGGAAAAATGGAAAAAGATGTTGAGCTAATAATATTTTTCCACAAACTTGATCCAATTCATGATTTTTATGTATATTTCTTTTATATAAATAATTTGATGTCTAAATATAACGGAGTAGTAGTTTTCAAAATAGTACTACTGTACTACCTCCGTCCAGGCTTAAGCCTTTCTTTGAAATATAGCATGGATATTTAGACAATAGTTAAATAAGAATGTTCGACTATATTTTGAAAATTGGTTTTCATGGGTATATTATATGATGACATTACTGATGATAACTGTGATGTTAAAGTTCTATTATTTTTATTATTTGATGATTAAGTTGTCATTTTGTAGAGTTAATTATTTCCTAAAATAGAAATGAGAACATTTAACTCGGATGTCTAAAAGAGGCAGGTGAGAAAATTAAGCGGGGACAGAGGAAGTACTATTCTTATATCATATTCTTGTGTATTTTCCATGTTGAAGCCTAGAATCAAACATACTGTTAGAGTTGGTGCTTATGCAATTTCTTTTTCCCTCAATTGTGGTCCTTAGGTTCCTGCTATGCTGTATAACTACATTTTAGCAATGTACTTTGTAAATACCCTCTGTCCCTTTTTGGCATGTTTTTCAGGAAAATGATACAGCTAGTTGTTATTCTAGAATTCTCGACTTTTTAGAAAAAGTAAATGGTGTAATAATCATTTTAAAAAGTAAAGATTTTAGAATAATACTTGGAATGTAAAAGTTTTTAGAATAATACTGTGTTTAAGAGTTGCATTCTGCAGAGGCGGTTGAGAGATGTTTCATTGCCTGACTATTTGTCTAAAGGAGATGAGAAGGCTTCCGATAGTAGTGCACCAGAGTTCTGCATTGACGGACTTTCTTGTGGCAACGTCTCGAGGTTTATCAACCACAGTTGTCAACCCAATCTCTTTGTGCAATGTGTGTTAAGCAACCACCATGACATCAAGCTTGCACGTGTGGTGCTAATGGCTGCTGATAACATTCCCCCGCTGCAGGTATTTTTTCTCATTGACTCGTTTATCTAGTTTACTTGTAGGCTGTAATTATTTATTGCTGATTGGTTCAACTTTAAAAGTTTTTGGTTGATTGGTTCAACTTTAAAAATTTTAGGCTGATTGGTTTCTTATAGAGGACATCACCTCACATTGTAAAAACTGTAGGCTGATTTTTCCCATTATCCTCAGAATTACAAAATATGAGCTTTTGGAATAGATATATAAAAGGAATACGCTTATTCCGTAAGGGCTTTTTGTTAAAATGTGGACCACCTTTTGTTAGTGATTGTTTGAACTCTTCTGAAAATCCTTGCATGTTACCTGCTTCCTGGGCTTTCTTGTCATCTTGCAACTTTTAACTACTACAACTAACTATGTAGAAGATGTTACAATAACTTGCAGGAGCTCTCATATGATTATGGGTATGCTGTAGATAGCGTCTTGGGTGCCGATGGACAGACAAAGAAGCTGGCCTGCTATTGTGGTGCTGAAAAATGCCGAAAGCGCCTGTACTAGGAGGATGTCCGTATTCTTTGGTTATGTTGTTTTGTAAACCTAATTAGAGCATCTCAATTATTGTTTTTTGCTTCCTCTCTCGAGGACAACACATCTTGTTAAACGTGCACTGCAAGCCTACAACCTAGGTTGCTATTTATTTTGTTTTGGCCTTTGTTATTAAACTGTCCATTCCTGTAGTTTAATACTTGAAGACAAGAGAGGCCATTAAAAAAGATATACTTGTTATAAAGCCACCTATCCAAATTTCAACCTTTAATAAGAAAAGGGTAGATGATTCTTTTCACCATTGAAAAAATAGTGGAAATTACCCACATGGTTCACTTTTATGCACCTCATTACCTCATATCATTTGTGTCTCAACGACTTTCTCTGATCATTTTTAACCTTTATTTTTTTCACTTTTCTTTTTATTAACTCTTTTATTTCAGAAAGAGTCTAAAATTTAAACAATATAAGCCCCATATTAGAAAAAATCAAAATCTAATTGCATCAGCTTTCATCTCCTGATCTCCCGGAACCTTTTGTCCATCTTCCATATTTGCCTATCAATCTCCTCAATTGTTGCCTTCACATTAGTTGCGGCACCACCGCTCTCATTACATCTCAACTAGTCCTGGATCGGGCCGGTTCGGGCCTGGGTCAGGCCTAGATCCGGTCGGGCCTCTAGTCCTGGAATGGGGGACCCGGAACCGGCCCATCCTTTGCCGGTGCCGGTTCGGGCCGGCTCACCTGCCTGGTTCCCGGGTCGGGCCGGGCCTATGTATTTTTTTTAATACAACTTAAATATGAAATACATTTTTCAAAAAATATCAATACAATAAATTCTAAGTTGTAAGTTTGTAACCAATTAATTAATTAATTTGAGAAGTGCTACATATAATAAAAAAAGAATGTATATTTATTTGAAATATGAACTACAACTTTACAAATTACAATAGAGAATTAAGGGAAAAATTAAAACATGAAATACATTTTATAATAAATTGTAAAATACTAATCAATCGGAATCTCCGGCATAGGAGCCACCCTCGGTTGTTGATTCATCCATAAAGTTTTGGGAGGGGGGTGATGCTAATTTCTTGACATCTACGTATGGCTAGGGATGGCCCCGGGCCGGTTCGGGCCTAGGCCCGGCCGGGCCTCGGGTCTGTTTTGTTCTATGTTGTAAAAACCGGACCGGTGAGCGACCCGGTCATGTGACTGGGTCACGGGTCAACCCGGACTCGGAGGATCAACCCGGTCAAAGCCAGAAAACCGGTCAACGATTATACGTCTATATAATAATAATAAACATATAATTATATACATTGTCATTATATATTTTTATTTGTATTGTACATTTATATTATAATTTGGCATGATTTTCATTCTTAAATATATATATAAATATATTACATAGTTTTTCTTTTTAGAGAATTGAAATTGCAATTTTATTGGTTTAAAAAATGCATTAAAATTAAAAAAGAAATTACTTTTTTTTTTGGAAAAGACCGAAAACCGGGGTTTCCCGGGTTTTTCGGGTTTCTTGAGTCGGGTCCGGATCGGTTTTTTTCGGGTCAGTCGGATTTTTCCTATTTTTGACCATTTTCGGGTTTTGAAGAAACCGAACCGGATTTTTGTCCGGGTCACCGGGTTCCGGGTCAACCCGGCCGGGTCGGGTCGGTTTTTTAAACATAGGTTTTGTTGGGCCCGAGCCCGAACCGGTGGCCACCGGTTCCGGGTCCGGTTCCGGGCCGGACCGGGCCGGGCCACCCGGTTAGTTTATTTTTTTTTTCTTTTCTCCCCCCCCCCTCACCCCCCACCCCCCCCCAAACCCCCCAAACTGGTCCTAAACATCAAGCCCAGCTCAATAAAGCCCAAAAAAATGAAGAAAAAAAAAACAGTTTTTGGCCCGGACCCGGGCCCGACCTGGCCGGGCCGGTTCGCCAAATACAAGGCCCGATCCCGGACCCGCCCCCCCCCCCACCGGGCCTAGGCCCGGACCCGAGAACCGGGCCGGTTCCGGGCCCGCACTGTGGCGGGCCGGGCGGCCCGAACCGGGTCCATGACTACGTATGGCCTTCAACCAATCGTGATAGCATATAAGCGTCTCAAGAGACTCAACGCTCAAACTCGTTCTAGATGTCGTTAGAACGTTGCCAGCCGAACTAAATTCTTGTTCCACGGCAACTGTTGAAACCGGCATTGATAGCACTTGCTTAGCCATCTGTGCCAAAATCGGGAACATTCTTTCTTTTGACTTCCACCACTTTAGAACATCAAACTCCTCATTTTCGTCAAATTCTACCTCATAATTTATATACAAAGAAATCTCATTAAGTGCGCTTTGTTCAGTAGTGTGAGTTGTTTTAGGTTTTTTCATAAGATTGTCAAAAGTAGATTTAAAAAGTGATTTTCCTTTAGATGAAGATGTGTGTGTCGGGGGAGGGGGCGCGTTGTCATATTGTGCACGAAACTCATTAAATAAGACATAAAATAAATTACTAACCTCGTTGTATTCAACTTGCGGATCTATGACGTTATCGTCATACATTGGAAATGGACCAAAAAAAGCATTATAATAGAACTTCAAATATTCTTCCAAATTACCAAGTCTATAACGAGGATCGAGAATAAATGCAATACCATAAATATGCGGAATACGTGCATAATATTTTAAAAACTTTTCCTTCATAAAACCACAAAAATAACTCCCGTAAGCGGCATTCTCAAATTCATTAAAAGCACCGGCGAGATTAACAACTTCACGAATAAATTCGTTTGAGGTAGGTTTATAAACATGACTAAAACTATCAATTGCATTATTAAAATATATCAAAACATTACAAATTTTTTCGCAAGTGTCGTTGTGAGCGGAGTTTAAAATATAGTTATCATATTGTCTTAAAAAAGAAGGAAAATGTTCTTTATATCTAAGAAGAACTTTGATTAATTTATAAGCACTATTCCACCGAATAGACAAATCTTTAGGAAAAGCAACATATTTCACACCTCTTTCAATCAAATAATTTTGCCATTTTAATTTAAGTTGACCATTGCCCCAAATACGTCTAATCCCCTCCTTGACTACCTCCATAGCATCTCCTAACACTTTTAGACTGTCTTGCACACATAAATTTATAATATGACATGCACATCGTTGATGAAAAAATCTACCCATCAAAGTATTAGAACCACACAATTCACGCAATCTAGGTATAGCAGCAGTATTATTAGTAGCATTATCAAATCCTATAGCAAACACCTTATCAATCAAATTATACTCAGTTAAAATACGTTCAATCAAAATATAAATATGTTCAGCGGTGTGACGATCATTAAATTCACGAAAAGTAAGAACACGTTTATGAAAATTCCAATCATTATCAATAAAATGTGCAGTCAGGCCCAAATAATGTAAATTATGATAAGTATCCTCCCAAATGTCAGAACAAATAGTTACACGGCCATCAAAGTTTGCAAAAAAATTTGTAACCTATCCTTTTCCGCACGATAAAGCCTTATAATTTCTTTCTTAACCGTTTTGATCGTGACTATAACTTCTAAATTGAGGATTTAAACAAGGTTGTGCATAATCTTTAAAAGCAAGACTTTTAGAAAACAAATAAGGCAAATTTTCTTCAACAAGTAAGTTAGCCATACGAGTCAAATTTTGTGCATCAGTGTATGAGAAATTGCCAAAAGGTTGGTCATTTGCAAACCTCGATATTTGAGTTTGCTTCCCCTTGCCTTTGTCTATTTTCGCATACTCCACAAAGTGCGCGGACTTAAGATGCCTTTTGAGGCTCCCGTATCCGCCGGAAGTTCCCAAGCTATACTCCTTCTTGCAATGATCGCAACTTGCGTACCATTTATCGGTTGTTTTGTCATTCCTCTTTGTAAAATTATGTTCTATAATAGGAGATTTAGATTTCTTACCAACTTGGGATGGACCGCCCTCGTCCTCCAACTCTTGCTCATCATCCGGGGTGCCGTGAGTCCCGTCGCCCCCCTCGTCCTCCTTCGCATCGTCATCCTTGAGCTCCTCTTCATCAATGTACTCCAGGATGTTTTGTTGTTGGAAAAAGCGACCATCATTTTGCGCCAATTGTAGTTAATTGTTACACAATTGCTTGCATGCAAGCCTATAATTTGCACAAAACATGTGATGTGTGCACACTTATGATGTGTTAACACTGATAACAATCACTACTCATCAATGACACTGAATTTTGTTCATGAAAGGGGAGGCCCGGAACCGGCCCGGGTACCCCCCGGGTCCGGGCCGGGCCGGGCCTCGGTTCAATTTTTTTTTGGCTTTTCCTAATTAACCCCCAACCCTCCCCCCTCACCCACAAACCACCCCAAACCACCTCAAATAGCCCAAAATACCCAGCCCAACCCAAAAACTTAAAAAAAATCAAAAAAAAAAGAAAAAATAAATAAATTGGCACGGACCGGGCCCGAATCGGCCGGGCCGGTTCACCTTTCGAGGGGCCCGAGCCCAGACCGAAACCCAAGCGGGTCGGGCCTACCCGAACTAGTCCCTGGCCAGGCCGGCGGTTCGGGCCGGTTCAAACAGTGACCGGTCCGGGCCGGTTCCGGGGCGGGCCGCCCGGCCCGAGTCCAGGCCTATCTTGCACTACCCGTCCATTGGCCACACCAAGATTTGTTCTCACTTCATGGGAAGACCATTTTTTACTTGAACTCATCCCTACGTGTGTGTGTGAAAAATATAAACTATTCACACCGATGCCAAAAGTTGTGAGCAAGTTTATACACAATTGCTTGCATGCAAGCCTATAATTTGCACAAAACATGTGATGTGTGCACACTTATGATGTGTTAACACTGATAACAATCACTACTCATCAATGACACTGAATTTTGTTCACATGCAGTCATGCATGCTTTGTTCATGATCAATCCTGACAAACAAGAATTGTCTATCAAAGTGACGGTGTACAAAAGGGGTTTCAACCCGCACTACTGTTTTCATTTTATCATATTTGTTGTGTCACCATGCAGTGTGATGAAAAACAGAGTAGGCCTCGCAAGTGCAAGGTTTGGCACATACTTTGGCTCCAATTTTGCACTAAACCTCGGGCTTAAACTGTTAACATTCAATCAGGGTTTAAAAAGTTGTAAAGTATGTGATTAAATTAGCTTAATAGAAAGACAGACAGTTAAACAAATACTCCGCATCATTTTTTTTCTTATATTTCCAGAATGGGCACTTAATTATTTTAGTAAAAAAACATCGTTTTACTCATCAACTTTTATGCACTGTAATAAACTTTAATAAGACGATAGATGTTATTTCAATTTTTCGGTTTTGAAGA